TCTCTCTCACTGCCCTCAGACAAAATTGCACGCTTTCAACACGAGCGCCAGAACGTTTGTTCATGCTGAACACTACACTGGTTGGCCTATTACGGCCCACTGGGTGAGAATAGCCAAAAGACTTGCCTGCGCTACTCAATCAATGTCAACATGATGGATACGATACATTTAACTTTTCAATTTTGGTGTTTTAGTTTGAGAATATTATAGGTTAGACTTTAGTTTTAACTGATTCCATCCATGATTTTTTCAGCCTCTGGACAAAATTATTTTTCCCTGTTCAGTTTTAGACCTGGGGTGCATCTATTTGGTAACCTGTCATTTCGTCACACGGTCGTCTCGTCGCACCCCAATTATGTGTGATGAAATGACTTCGCTTACAATCGATGTTTCTCAAAAATTGTTATGCTAGTAGAGTTTCGGAGGATCTGCCTAAAGCTTTTTTAATTTTAAGGCTTTACTTTTAAAAGTAAGGGTCTAGCTTTTAGCAAAATTGCTGTACCATACATTTCTATAATTAGTCAATTTGTTTTTAAGAGAACTAATTATGGTCTTGCCAATCACACTTTTCATCAATAATACACCTAAAATTTTTGTTGATATATATATATATGACTCTACAGATTTCAATATTTCGATATTGTCAATACATATTTACGAACGGTGTAGCTGATGACAACCATCGCTGCCCCCCCGTACTACCGCACACAGCCCCAACCCTCCCCCAAAAATCGTGATTTGCAATTGCCATGACAATGTGCGTTTGATGTTTGCAAGTGTGCTACGAATTGACCGCCTCCATTCAACCTTGTAGATTTGGGGTGTGACGAGATGACTGTGACGTCTTGACTGCACCAGTGTGACGAAATGACCGTGTGACGAAATGACTGGTATTCATCTATTTAATGCATTACTGTGAAGCTCTAAGTTACTCTATCTAATATGCATTATCATATACCGAACTGATGGGAATCAATAGAGGAATCTGTTTATATCAATAACAATGACCTATATTGTTGTTGTTGTTGTTATCGATCCAGCAACAGCTGGGCTCTCGCCCTTCTGTCCAATGCCATGTAGTGATAAGTGCAGGTCTGCTGCAGAACAATGACCTATAATCTGTTTGTATTTGAAAAATTGCGCAACACCTCTTCAAAGATTTCAACTTTCCACATCTTCTACAAGTCCTTATAATCCATAGGAATCAACTCAAAATTGTAGCGATATCATCCTAGCACACATTTATGCAAGAATTTCCCAAATTTAGTTGAATATCTTTCTTTGAAGGGCCTTTTTATAATACCAGGCTCCGTGTTGTTTACCCATACGTAGCAACAACATAACAACGATTTTACAAGAATTTCGTGGAGTTTCGATTGATTTTGGCGCTCAGAGATAGAGAGGTCCGGCTTGTTTACAAGTTCTACTTCCTTTCGACAATTTAAAAAGTAGGAACTATGTTAAAAAGTGCACATTTGTTTTGGATTTCGCTTGGATTTCATTGAGCTGCTCACAGCGGTCGAATGGTGGCAGCGGAAAAACTCAGAGGCGCTGTCAGCGCCCGAATGGACAGAATCACTTAATACATCGTCAAATATATGCTATCAATTCAATTAGATTTTGAAATATAGATCTCTACATTTTTACTCATCTGTAACAGACAGTATCTAGGCAAAACATTTTCTGTTCACCTATAAACCCTTCGTAATTCAAGTTAAAAATTCAAGGCACAATCTGACCTGTCTATGATGGCATATATATATGTATTTGTCTTTCAGCATGTTGTCTATTTAATCCCAAGATCAAATAGATTTATATTGACAAGCGTGTGGACATTTTAAATGTCTCCATCCGCGCAGCGCGCGGAGTGTGCAACACTTTTCCCCGCGGGAGAGGATACAGGTGCGGTAGACATGCTATATTACACCGTCGCCGATCGGCGTCCCATGGGGAAAAGGTACGGCTTCTTACCATCGCCGATCAGCGTCCGGTGGGGGCAAAATGTTAATGGGAATGAGATTTAAAGAGGGAGTGTAGCTGACCTCTTCCCCCCTTGTGAATAGGAAATGTTTCTTCATAAATCAAACCTTCAAAGATTAGAGAGATTGGTAAGTGTGTAGTCTAGATTATGTAAATTACTGTGCAGATCCATCTATACCCAATACCCTGCTCTCATTGCTGTATTACAGAGTCTGTGTTCCAGGGGCTGACGTGCAAAACCCGGTAATCCATCTTAAAGCTCTCTTTGGAAAATCATCTTTTTTTTAGCTTTTACATGCAACAACTGATTGTGGAAAGTAAAACAGTAAGTAATGGGGAGGTGGTCTACCAACACAGGAAGTTTGACTAAAAAGATCTATTATGATTAAAATAAACAATTGGGGGATGAAAGTAGTAATTTGCCAACACCAGCTTTATCCCGGGGAATAAAGTCCCTTGATGCCCTAAGTCACTGTTATGCTCTAATTACAGCCATAGTAATCCCAACACTCAGCCGTCATAAAGGCAAAGGATTTTTTGTCTCCTGGCAGAGGGTGAAAGATATGTGAATGAGATATCTCTATTGAATGTATTAAATGAGATGTTATTTTGGGCTGAACAAAACTACTATTTCCATTTCGGATAGGATCGGCGGGGCACCCGACTCATTCACTCAAAAACAAACACGTTTGTTTTCAGGCGGTAGAGTCGGGCGATTGGCCCGACCCGCCGTAATGGGCACCACGTATTACACTCATCGACGCCCTTTTGAAAAGGAAGTCACTGAAAGGATTTGGAAATTTCATTGGCAAATAAGAAAAATTTTTAGAATGTATGGAGTTTAGGAAAATTATGATTTTGGATGTATCAGGGTTTTGCGTAAAAAAAAGTTTTTTTGATAGCTTTTATGAAGGGTGTGTTGGGTTTTGGCCGAAAACACTTTGTGCATCTGATAGCTCCGTTATAAAAATCTAGATTTTTTCCAAAATGTCGCTTAGTGGGTTTTGCATCTCACCCTTCATATATATTGTATGTGTCCGACGTGATGTAATCAGGCACTTGTCAGTTTTTGGGTATGGAGTTATTGGTATCATCTGAAAGTGTTTTTATTTGTCTCACTTTCAATGAAAAAAATACCCAACTATCTCGGATAGATGTTGAGATAAGAGATTTAAGGAGGAGGGGTTGCTTGGTTTCAGTGGTAAAATAGCAAGAAAATAGCCGCCAAAGTTTGATAACTTCATCAGCTTGACACTCCTTGAAAATTGAAAAATTACATATTTTCTGCATTTTAAAACAATTTGCAGTCACATGGCGCAATAATGCAGTTCTGCGCCAGGCCCGAAATGTCCGGTGCAATCACTCTCCTTGATGGGTGGCCAGATGGGGTATTTATTTTGTACTGCTGGGCGTGTGACTGTAAAGTGTTAATCGATGCTTTTCAGTAAAATTCCCATGGAAATGTGCTTTTATGTCAGCATAAAAAGTGTTGACCCAAAAAACAAAAATTAGATAGAAATTGCCAAACTCGCAAAAGAAAGTCAGTTTCTTAAATTTCATTATTTTGACGAGCGCTTGGTTTCACCACGACACCTCACATATACAGAAAGCTGGGTAGAAATTCCTTGTAATGCTTCCAGTTCATTTCGATACTTGTAAAATGCTATTGAGAGTCACTAGTTTTCAAGAGGAGACCACATCATGTTCAAAGGTGTGACTCATTGCTCTAGTTCTATAATTTTCCTTTGTAGTTCAATGAGCAAATAACTACTGAAAAAAATTGTACATGGCTTGTTTTCATTCTAATGGAGCCTTTTTAATTTCATCTGCACCTTGTGGGTGGTTGGCGGGTGTTCTGGTGTGATTTGTGCTTCTTCTTTCATATCAAAAGCTATTGTCCTTCTCTCTCCTCCTCCTTTTTGTGTTTGTTACGCTCTTGTAACACCTCTAATCTTCGGCACTTACATGACCTTATTGTGTTGCAAGTGCCGTAAAAATCTTACTGAAACTAAAAATCTGCACCTTGTACTGTATATTATGTGTCCACAGTGTCCTACTTTTATGAGTCGTAATACTAGCTGTACTGTTTGACAGGGAAAAAAATGAAGATGGGCTTGTGGTCTGCAGGGGGTTTAGAGGACTTTTTTCATCACCGCCTCTTAAAAGTGTATGTTGTTTTCATAGTTTTTAAAGAAAGTTTCATCTATATAATTATATATTTTAAACATCATCATTTACTTTTATTGTTACACAGCAATACATATCAAGATATATAGCAATACATATCAAGATATATATATATATTTATATGGTTTCTTCTGATATGTCAAATTTCTCAGTAAGACTGTTTTGCTCCTAATAGAAGGCTATTGGAATTGAGTTCAAGCAAGAATTTTATTTTCATAAAGATTTGATAGATGCGAGTGGTTTTTTAAACGCAAATTAACGTGATCTGTGCTGCAGTGTCAAAAACGTGCAATTTTTTTGCTTCTCTTTTGCTTTAGTCACACTATGAAGAAATTATATATACTATGATGGATAGATAGATAGATATTATAGTGAAAATTTGATTTTCTGGAGTATGGGATAGAGAATGCAATAGATTTTGAATAGTTTAATCATCTTTACGAGTAGTTTAGAAAAAGTTAAGAAACAAATAATGATAAAGACTAAATTATCAGCAAGCACCTTTGCTTGGATAAAAATTATTAGATATATGTAAAGATGTGTAAACAAAAAGAACTAGACAAGTGTATGAAAACTAATGCAGTTTGGAGGTGTGTTCACCACTGACAGACAAGAGTGGTCTGGTTTAACTTTTCAAGAGGTTGGAGAGGTCTCATAGTGTGAGAGAAGTTTATAATTTTCTTATGTTATATGTGACCAGTGTTGTGTGTTCATATTGTCAGGTGTCTACTGGACCAATGTCAGGAAGGAATACCCTATTGTGTGATTGAGCATAATTTTTTGAGTTTTTATATTTGCATGGTTGGAAATCCTTGTAAGGTTCCTGATAAGTTACAGTTTTTTGTGTGTGAAGCAGCATAGGTTCTTAAAAAAATTTATATTCTACTCCATATACTTTTTGCTTTAATAAGTACTTAAAAAAATATTGTGAGCTATATTTTGAATTGAAAGTCTTGACATTAAAATTTACAAAAAATCTTTTTTGAGACACTTATGGTTGAGCTTTGCTATTTGACCCATTCCTATATTATTGTAAAAATAGATTTTGGTTTTCCAAGTTTTATGATAATCAATAATAATTTTATTCCGACAGAATTGCAATGAAAGAAGCAGGCCTGCTGGTATGATCTTTTCATCAAAAGGGCACTGACTGTTGCCCTCTCCCACCCTCAGACTCGCGTCATATTATATTGAGACAGGAAAAAATTGAAATACCATCATGTCCTTGAAGAGATCCTGGCTGGCATGTCGTCTCAAGACTAGAGTGGCCATCTTCGCCCTCACCCTCATCTTCATTAGTATGGCACTGATGTATCGTGCCTTATTGTCACATGACACAAAGCCTCATGTGCGTCATAGTTCTCTCCCAACCATGGACAAGAGAAAGTTTTTACGTTTCCAACCCAAGTACAGTGAACTAGACATTCCACACGCCGATTCTAACATTGACAGATCATTCCACTTGAAAAGTCATCGTAGTCTGGTAAACGGTAACCCAGACGCTCAAGATCTGCCCAACTTGGCTAACAACATCCAGCTCTTAAAAGACAGAGACTTGTTGAGTGCGGACAGCAAAGAAGCTTTAACAAACTTTTTGAAGCAATTGTATCCTGATGACTGGGCTCATGCCCCAGACACCGACGAAATCGCTTTGGACTTGAAGTATGTGCTGATTGACTATGGGTTTGAGAGCAAAATGTCGTGCAAAGAGATTGATAGCCTAAGACTTGGAAATCCTGTGTCCTTCTCCAGTTCCAAATTCATTGAGTATGCTTATGATGATAACCAGGACAACAACGAAGGAAACTCTTATGAGAATTATTACAACAGGAACAATCGCAATAGGAATGCTAATGCGGCTGTGAAAAGTCCCTCTTCTGATTCAGACACAAAGATTGCGTGCATGAAGCAAGTGTACGACCCAGATTTCTGTGCCACAATGGGGAATTACAAGTAAGGATTTACGTAGCTCAGCGTGTCTAGTTTCTTGTTCTTCCTAATATGCTTTATTGCTTTATATGAATGTATGTTATATGTATCTGTGTGTGTGTGTGAGGGGGGGGGGTCCTCATGCTTCTTTGCATTTCTTTCTCAATCTATTTGGTTTATCTAATTGTCTTTACGTGCTCTACTTGTGTGTAGGGTGTGTGTATGTGTGTGTGTATGTGTGTGTATTATTGCAAATGTGAACGGTTGTACCTGTAACTTAATAGTTATGGTTGACTCAATATAAATATTCAAAGCTGAAATAGGAAGGTTGCTTCAAAGAGGCCAAATTGGGATTGCTTGTTCGGGATTGAAAACTAGTTTGAACGTCTGAAGATTTGACTTCGTTCTTAATTTGAAATTATTTTGTCTTTTTCTGTCTTGTTAATGATAGGTAAAAAATTTCTTCTCTTTGAAAGAATTGTTTTAAGGTACAGCTGTGATTCTACAGTCACAGTAAAAAGTCTGTGTCTTGCACTGCTTGTTCCTTGTGATGACAGCCTGTATGAATAAATAGTTCAAGCTCGGCCTTAGTCAGCACTCATGGGTTCCAGCACTGAGTTAGGATCTGTAACACATTTATTAATTGATATATATAGTTTTTAGATTGTAATTCTGATCTTGTTGCAGATTTCTACGGGAGATTCTTTTTATGGCGACTCTCCATCACCCGTCTATCTTGACCATGAAAGGTTACTGTCTCCGTGGCAACCGGCTGGCGTCGAAGCTCCAGGAGAAAGGCCTTGTCATGGTGACGGAGACTGGGGTGGCGCTCACCCCAACTGCCGTCCGATCCTCCTCTTGGTACCAAAGACTACATGTGAGTGCATCAAGAATGACAGTGAATGAGTAACCACAAGGGGAAAACAGCTATGTCTGAAATGCTGAGTTTTAGCTGGAAACTGGATTTTAACCCTTTCAGCCCTGACTTCCTGAGGCTACCGTTCCCCTCTGCCTGAGCTCCTTAATGGTATATTAACATCTAACATTCATATGATCGTCAGAATCACTTTCCATATCCCACTGGAAGTAGTCTTTGTCATTACCAGTATCTAATTGAGAAAAATCTTCAAAATAATCAATAAGGTCCTGTGTAGCATGCACTTTTTTCCATGTGTGTTTTGTCCCATACAGGCCTAGGGTCTTGCTCACTGGCATACTGTGGCTAGGCATACGGACAGTTTACTCACCTCTAATGGTTAAACTTGAAACTTTTGGGAGATTTTTTTTCGATTTCATTTCTTCAAAATCTTATTAACCAATCGCGTTATATTACTTTGATTGTTGTGCATATGTTTGTGAATTGAGCGTCCTTTTGTCGATCAATAAAGTTGTGTTTGCTGGTGATTGGAGGATGCCACTGGTAGGTCCTACTGCTTTATTGTATCTGTGTTGGTCCTGTCTATCTGTCTGTTTTTGCGTCTTCCCAAAAGAATAATAATTTATTGTGCTCATGTACTTGTCTAGAAGTCAAAAACTCAAAAGTTGTTTTTTTCTGTGTTAAAAGTGATCTCCACCCGCGCATTTCCTCATGGGTAGTTGGAGGACACCACTAAAAGGTCTCACTGCTTTTCTTTCCCTCAGATGATTCTGTCTGTTTTACTTTTCCATGTGGATGGTTGGCTGGAACTCTAGTGTGGTTTGCTCCTCCTTTTCTATCAAACATCTATTTTCCTTATCTCTCCTCTTTTTTTGTGTTTGCTACTCTCTTATAACACATCTGTATTACATGTCCTGGGCAACAACGTCATTGCACACCGGACAGGTCCATAAGTGCTTAGTTCCCCCCAGCACCAAAGCCCGCAAGGTATCCATACAGATTGTTCCGGTGGCTGTCTGATTATGGCGACGTCTTTCCTTTCCGGATAATCGTTCCTTTCTTCCTTATCCCCACTCTATCCCCATTTCCCGCATCCTAATGATTGCGTGGTGTTCTGCTGTCTCCCTGTCTTCTTCATCCCACAACTTTTTCTCCAACACTTCTCCTTTGTAAAATTTCACCTCTCCATCAACCACGGCACTGCCTGCCAGCCTATCAGCCTCCTCATGGCCTTTCACTCCAGAGTGCCCAGGACAGAATATCCACGCTTATAGCACATCTAATCTTCAGCACTCGTATGACCTAATTTTGTTGCAAGTACCCTAAAACTTTGCTATACCATAAAAACTCTTTCTCTGCTCTATATAACTTGTTTTGTCAATTTGCGTCTTTTTACTAAATACAAAATAATCCCCGGCTCTCTTTCCCAGATGGCGCTACAAGTGAGTCATCTGCTGCTTTATCTGGACAGTAGTCCCTTTGGTAGCTTGCGACTGCGCAAACTGGAACTGAAAGATCTGATACTGGTCAAAGGCGATACAGTCAAGCTAGCGGATCTTGATGAATTGGAAGTTGGGGAGTCGCTGTGTCAGGACGCCATGCAGTGTCGGTTACAGGGCAGAGAAAATGGTATAATACATGTTGGGGGAAATGTATACTGTTGTCATGTTGTTGTAAGTTGACTGCCTTAGGCATCTTTGAAAAAAACAATTATTTGAGTTAATTTTTTCAGTAAGTGCCAAGCATATAATTATAGTTTATTGTTGCTAATATGCATGGGTTTGCGAGTATGTCTTGTATGTCAGTGTGTCTGGTTAAATAGAATTTTTTTTCTTTTATCTACACAATATGAACATGACAGTTTTTTTGTGTATAAGTTAAACAGCTTTCTACGCACACACAGGTTATTTCAAAAGCGGGCTTAGCACTGTAATTTTGTTAGGTCTGGTTTTAGTAAGACTAGGCCACTGGTCAACAGATCTCATCTTGAAAGAAAGCTAGGCAGAAGATGAAATTAAGTGAGTGGAAAAGATGCCCACCTCCCATCGCCTTATACCAGAGATGTTGAACAATGTACCAAGAAATTCCCACCTTTGGGGGGATAGTTGCCTGCCCAGCTAGTGGGACAATACCATGCTTATGTCCTCTTGCCCACACAGTCTCAAGCCTATCAGATTGTAGAGAGGAATCATGTTTTGAGTTAACAGTATCTTTTGTTTTCCCCTCTCTCCATCAGGCGGCCAATGTTTAGAGGGAAGCTGCTTTGGGTTGAACGCACTGTCCAATCTGGACAAAGCTGCTACAGCTGCGCTGCTGCCAATGTTGAGGAACCCTGACTCGGAGGAGGCCACTGCTATTGTGAGAGGCTTGGAAGATTTGTCGCTGTCTACCCCACAGCTAGTTGTTCGACTCCAGAAACTGCTCAGCGAAACATGTAAGGATTATTCAATTTTCTAATATTTTAGGCCCTTATCTAAACCTATAAGGCAATTTAAGAGCTGAGTTGCTTTGACCATACCTGTTAAAGATGCCAAACGAGGCTTTATGGAATACATACCAGTAGAAAGAAGGAGATATGCAATAAGATAACTACCCTTGGTGGTAACTAAACTTTGTCTTTTTCATGCAGATCAATTCCCCCGCAGGCTCTGATTTAAATTAGGAAAATGTTCCTAATGTTTTTATTTAAACATGTAAAATATTGGTGCTCAAGTTGAGGGGCTGAAGAATTTTGTTTTCCCTTTTTATTTTTGTGGTGATTGTGAATGAGTTGTTATTAAAGATGGGAGGCTAAACGAAACTTTTAAGTCTAGTAAGAGAATGGATAAAACTTTCTATATCAAGGGTTGCTGATAACATTCTTATTTATCAAGGTTTGCCTTTTGCGATAGAAGGTTGGCATGACCTTGCAGTATTTTTTTTAGCTACTGAGATCTCTCTAATTTGAGTCTATTTACTAATGGTGGAAATTAAAATGTTGTCCCTTTTTGGTGTTTTCCAGCCAAGGAAGAGCCACCACTTTTAGTTGTTCAGAGTGACAGGAAGTTATCTGACGGCAGGGCTCGGCCAGTGGTGTCAATGACACAAGATGAAGACGACAACAGCATTCATCCCTTGCCACGAGTGAGTTATTAGGCAGGCTGTTGCTGTGTGCCTTTATATTAACTGGAGACCATTCTCTTGTATTGATGTTTTGCCCTCCAAAATATTGTTTGTTAATATGTGTGTGTGCCTGGAGAAAGATCCCTGTTGTCAGCAAAGCTATTTTTGAGCACCGAGGTGAAAAGGCCAAAAACGTTGTAGCTGGTCAAAAATTTAGTTCCATCAGAAAACACACATTTAACCATTTCTTTAAAACATATTGAAAGGATTTTATATTTTAACTCTAAATATTTAAAAAATTAAAAATGTGCTAGAAATATGGTTTTACTCCAAACTTTGTTTTTACACCCTCTGTTTCGAAAACTCCTCAAGATATTTGAAAATCAGCCTGTTCTGCATTGAAATAATACAAGAATATGCCCTTATTTCAATATCCAAAATTTCCAACGGCTGGGACCTTTTTGCAGGCACACACACATATTGTTCACCCCCATCAACACAATTTAGATCATCCGGGAAGCAGACTGCTTCAGCCCTGCTGATGGGGTGGGATATGTGCAGTATCCCGGCAGATAAAGGGAGACACTTGACAAAATTACTTCCTCATAGGATTATCGAAGTTATGTCTTGTGCGTGCAATAACGAAGAGCTCAACCATTGCTCCATGCTCGCAGGCACCTTTGGATAGAATGTACTGGAGTTTTCATACACATGCAGGCGGTTGGATGGTGCCCGAGGTAAAACCTACTTCTTTACTCTTCCATTGTCCTCTCCGTCTTCAGTCAGGCACATATAACTCAGACATGTTGGAGATTGACAAATGTGTTTGACACATGCATTATTTGGGTAAACCTGTATAGCAGAAAAAATGTAATATGTCAGTTGGGGAATGGCAAACTGTACAAGTTATCTGTGATTACGAGTTTTCCATGTTTGTGCTATCTGTGCCCGACTGTATGCAGCTCTTGTTCTTTTCTGGCGTCATTATCTCATGGATGTGCTTTTTTCTACTATATTTTTTGTGTGTATGTGTGTGTGTGTGTCTGTGTGTGTCTGTGTGTGTGCATTATATGCAATATGTGTGGGAACGTGGCTGCTAGAGTGTGCATGTGTACCTGTCTCTCTGAATGAGGGATTCCCCATTTTACTACTTGTGTTAAACACCTTGGGTTCACTGGATAGGAAGAGGCCTCTATAAAAATGTTTGCTTTTATTATCGTTATTGATATTGTGTTTATTCTTCTTCTTATTTTGTATTCCTTCTTATTGTTATTATAATTCTGATAGTTGCGATGAAAAAGAGTGGAAAGCATTTCAGAGAGGAAACTGAGCAATTCATTTTCCTCAACTTTGACCTTTGAGAAGATTAAGTAGTTCGTTTTCCTCCTGCCGCCTCTCAGGGCAACAGAATCGACACGGACTCATTACTATCGCGGTTTGAGCGCCATGACCAGAGCAACTTTGCGGGCATCTACGACTACCCGTGCGCTGGGTCTCGTGTGTCCTGGGGCTGTGTGCACACAGTGAGAACCCTTCATGATGTGGCCGACCTCTGTCTCAAGGACGACAACTGCCGCTGTTTCGTCACGTTTACCACCAGGCCGGAGGAGGAGAGTGAGTTGTCCACTAGTGTTGTGTGATCAGTCGAGGGAGTTGCTCGTGTTCATATAGTGTACAACGTGTCCAATCTTCAGCTTTTTGCAGCTCGACTCAGTTATCTTGTCTATGCGTAGATTTAAGGGCTCTTTTATGGAAGAATGGCGTAGATCCAAGCTTAACAGCAAACCCTATGTCACAGTGTGTCTTATTTACAGGTCTATTTAACATTCATGCTTCACAACATAAGTATCCGTCAATTTGTTGGTCTAATGAGATTTATGTCGAAGAATGTTATCGATGTACGCCCGACCACTGTTTATTACTTTGGCAAAATATGTTTATTTGCCAGCATGACAAATGTGTAATTAACATTCATGCCTGACAATATAACGGTCTGGCTATTTATAAATCTGATGACAGTTGTGTCGAAAAATTCAACAGATGCATATCTTACTATGTCACAGTATGTCTATTTGCAGGCCTTATATATATCTATTTATCCATCATGAGCAACTGCATTACTATTTGTGTCTTTATAGGTCTAATGATAGTCTTTTAAAAAAATCCAAGGGCACTTTATTGTGTCTATTTGCAGGCCTGGTAGATATCAAATTGACAGTCATGCACAACTTCTTTACTCTCTATCTATTTATAGACCTGATGACAGTCGTATTAAAGAATGCGACAGATGCCTACCCTCAGAGCTCATCCGGCACCACCCTTTTCATCCGGAGATCGGCAAAGTACGATGTGATTCTACGTGCTGTGGAGCAGCAAAACGGTGATCTCTCTAGAGACAAAGAGCTTGATAGTATGAATGAAGCAATGAGGAGAAATGAGATTGGAGGAGTGGGAGGAGGAGGAAGTGTCAGGGAGGAAGGTGGCGGTCAAGAATTGGACGCAGATGACCAGCTCATGGCAAAGTCAGATCTGGAGATTACGGAGTGCATCGATAGAACTCTCCAGATTCAGGATGCGGCGAGGCTCAGCAGAGAGAAACGCCTTATGGCTCACATGGGCCTCAAAGGTGACATCTTCATTCTTCTGTTCTTAACAGTCTCGTAATGTCTTCAAACTAAACTTTCTCTTATCACCAGTCCTTGTCTCCTTCACAGCCACTTATTTTGACTTTTCACTGTCTTAGAAATAATAATTGGTCACTTTGTGCCGTTACCACTAAAATGCTAATATCTCAAGTCCAAATGAAAATAGAGCTGTGAAAGGTCATAGGATGACAGATAAGGGATTTTGCTCTTGAGTTGTGATATTATTATGACTACGTTGATATTATTTCTTCTTCTGACTGTGCGAAACTGTTTTGATATAAAGTTCAGGGCAGTTCAGGGCAGTTCAGACCTTCATAATATGAATATTATGGCAATCTGTATATAAAATCAGGTCTGAGACGGTCTTTGACAAAGTGGCGGAGGTTCAAAAGAAACTTTTGTGTGTGTTTTTGAGCTTGATCCACTGACTACTGTGACATACAAGATGGAGTATCTTGTCTTCTCAAGCAAGGACAAAAACACAGAGATTATGTGTGCTCATTGTATACATTAAAGACTACTTGGCCCTAGAAAATAGAAGAGCAGTTCAGCTTCTTTTCAGGCTAAATTCTAAGCTTAGCCCATCCAAAAATGGAAGAAAGTCTGATTTGTCTTCATGATCACTAAAATCATGTGTGTGTCCCCCCCGCGCCCCCGTTGATGAATAAAAGCTTTTGTATGTTTGTCACACTCTTGTGACCCGCTATTTCCAGGGTGCCTTGATACTTGAAGTAGACTTTGTGCTGTTGAAGCTAGAGAAGTGAGCAGAGTAAGCCTGATTACCTGTAAGGACTTCTCTGTTGACATCCACTCCTTGGCGCTCATATGACCTTATGCCGTTGTGAACAGTGTAAAACTTCTTCTAAAAAAAAATTTTTTTTTAAAGTTGTATCTTGCTTTTTTCTCTCTTTTAAAGTCATCTTCAGATGTTTCTTTTTTTTTCATTCAAAGTCATTTTAAAGTTGTATCATGTTTTCATTTGTCCAGGCACAAGAGAGCAAGTGTGGCGGCGGTCAGTCCTCCACCAGAACTTGGGAATCCCGAGCCGTATTGTCCGAGCTGCTGGTGGTGGAGGGAAGTTCCTCGTCAATTTCACCAAAAGGTACTGATGTGAAGGGAGTTTGAGCCCATACAGTTTTAACTCTGTCTGTGAATGGGTGGTTGTTGTTGTTGTTGTTGTTAGCGATCCAGTAGCAACTGAGCGTTAACTCTTCTGCATGATGCCATTCGGTAATAGCTGCATGTCTGTTCTAATTGTTGTCTTGAGGAGTAGAGGCAATTAGCTGTCTAGGGTAGCTTGGGAAGAATACATCCCCTTAAATCAGTTAGTTTTCTACAGTTTTCTATGATGTTCCATTGTCTCTGAGGGGTAGTCACATAGTGGGCAGGCAGCAGACTGCTTTACTCCAATTCGGTTGAGATGTTGGTTGATGGATACATGTTGTGTTCTAAGTTGGAAGATTATTGATTGATCTCCCCTCCTCAACTCATTGATTGGATCTTTGACCAGTGGTTTATTCATGTGGCCATACATCCTCCTTCCTGTCGTACCTGTTGCCCAATCATGAATGGGTGGTAGTCTTGATTCTTTGACAGGTCACTACCTTAGAATTACAAAGTTTTTTCTTACATTTTTTGACCATTTTGAGTTACTAAGACCATGAGTTCAGAAACAGTGTTCTACCTGCTCAATAAAAATCAGAAGATAATTTGGAATCGTTATCAAGATATTCAAAGAATTGCAATTGAAAAGCCATTACGTGATGTAAAACTAAAAATCTATTATTTTAAATTTCTCAAAACTAGGTGCTGAGCAAATAGAATTGTAATGTTAGTACACACACACGTCTGTAAAACTGGAGAGACGAACACACACGACAGCAAGCATTCTAATAATGAGCCCGGGTGTAGTGTCTGACTTTTTATGTAGATCCCCGAAGTGAGTAACATTAACCAAGAGCCCATGGCATACGGGGCGCTTACGTCCCGTGAGTAAAAAAGAGTAAGGTACAATACGGTGACTACCGTGACATCTCCCCTTTTAATATTGAAGAAAAAGGAAAACCCCAAAATGGATTAAAGATTATCGGCTTCGAGCCTCTCAAAGGGGAATGTTCTAACTTTAACAAAATTCACACACAGAGTTCAATTGTCTTTGAAGATTCCGGGCTTGCACTTGAGAACTTTGTAACACATTTCAATAAAGTTCTTTGGTATTTCATAATATCCACATTTCAAATTGTCTTTGTCACATTCATAGAACAGCATAGCGTCCCGATAACGAACTTGAGAAAATAAATTACTTCGAACAGGTAAGTCTACACAACTGTTGGGTAATCAGCAAAGAATAAACACAAAGTAAAATTTGTCATCGAAAGGATACGACTGGGTCGCAAGAACATCAGTCCGGGTAACGAGCGGGTCTCCTGACCACTCGTCCACTTCGTGTAGTTATTGGAGCTGGACTGGCTGGAACGGCTGCTGGCTGAGGTGATGGTGGTGTGACATCAGGCTCCACCGGCTGGACAGCTGGTGGCGGAGGTAAGGGAACGGACCTTGGAGTAGGCTCTGGGGTGGCAACAGGTGAAGAAGGCACGGAAGGAGGGTCGACGTAGGGCTTCAGGTGTTTGCGGTTCCGGCGGTAAGCCCTAGCCCCAGACTGTATGATGTAAGACCTGGGTGCGCACCGTTCTTTGACAACCGCAGGGCCACGCCACTCCTTGTCGTTCTCCAGCTTCTGCAGGACGAGCTGACCAGGATTCAGCTCCGGGAGGTTCTGGGCTCCGTGACGTCTGTCAAAAGCTTGTTTGTACTTACGCTTCGACTCAGCGTCTCTGGCTGCAATCTTCGCCCTGTCGTAGACCTGCTGGTTCAGGTTTGACGGTAGAGTTGGCAGGGTCGTCCTCAGGCGTCGCCCAAGAGCAAGTTCCGCTGGGCTCGCCCCCGTCGGTGACACCGGTGTAGACCTGTAGATCAGGAGTGCGAGAAATGGGTCGTCCTGACTCAGGGCTTTCTTCGCTTCCTCGACTGCTCTCTCCGACCCGCCGTTGCTCTGGGGAAAATGAGGACTGCTGGTCGTGTGTTTAAATCCCCAGCCCTTGGCGAACTTGTGGAAACGGTCCGACACAAACTGAGGACCGTTGTCAGTCACCAGTAGTTCTGGAATGCCAAACCGAGCGAAGACGTTTTTCAGTTTGTACACGACAGTCTCTGAGGTGGTGTCTGGCATGTAGGCCACCTCCAAGTACCGTGAAAAGTAGTCCACGAGTACCAGGTAGTTATGTCCCTTTTAGTTGCAGAGGTCAGCACCAACCATCTGGAACGGCCGCTCAGGTAGAGCTGTCGGGTTTAGAGGTTCGCTTGGTTGTGCTGGACGTTTCCTCTGGCAATGGTCGCATCTTGAGACGACTTCCCGTATCTCGGAGCTGAGACCAGGCCACCAAATGGAAGATTTGGCCCGTTCTCGACACTTCGACACTCCAAGGTGACCGTCGTGGATCCTGCTGAGCATCTCTCCTCGCATTGCCTTGGGGATTACGATGCGGTTACCTCTGACGAGTAGTCCATGGACTTCGCTCAGTTCACTGGAAACTGCGTAGAGGTCGCGAGCTTCGGACTTGACGTTTTGTATGAATTTCGGCCAACCGCTTCTAGTGTACTGTATCGCAGCACTGATCGCTGGATCCTGTTGAGACTTGTTTCTGATTTCGTCAAGTTTGCTATCCGTGGCATCCCATGACATCTGGATTGTAGCGACATGAGCCTCGATTTCTTCACCAAATTCTTCAGGCTCGGTGCTCACTACTGGACTTCGGGACAAGGAGTCTGCGACAGTCATGTTTTTCCCTTGGCTGTATACTGCCTTTCCGCTGTAGCGCATCATCCTCATCAGCATTCGTTGGCAGTGGACAGATGCATCATTCAGTTCTTTAGAGTTGATCAGGGGAACAATGGGCTTGTGGTCGGTGAGCAGTGTGAATGACGGCAGACCGATGAGGTAGCGATCGAACTTTTCGCACGCCCAGGTGGCCGCCAACAGTTCCTTTTCAATCTGAGCGTAGTTCTTCTCCGCCCTAGATAAAGTTCTGGAACAGTAGGCCACTGGCTGAAGATCACCCCGGTCTTCCTGGAGGAGAACTCCTCCCAGTCCGTAGCTGCTTGCATCGGCGCTTACAGTGACAGGCTTCCTCATATCAAAGAAGGCGAGTGTTGGAGCTGACGACAGTAACTTCTTGATATCAGTGAAGGCAGATGACTGCGCTGGAGTCCAGGCCCACTCAGCATCGTGATTCAGAAGATCGGTGAGCGGCTTCATGACTGTTGACAGATTTGGCACAAACCTGCCCAAATAGTTCACCATGCCGAGCACTCGTCGTAAGTCTGTAATGTTCTCTGGCTCTGGCATCTCAGTGATGGCGCTGACCTTGGATGGATCTGGCCTTACACCCTTCCCGCTGATGATGTGGCCAAGAAAATCGATTTCATCCTTGTCAAACTTGCACTTAGATTTGTTCAACCTGACCCCACGCTCCTTTAGCCGCTGGAAGACTTTCTTCTTCAGCTTATCATGTTTCTCCTGACCATCCGTGTGCAGGAGGATGTCGTCCATAAAGCACTCTACACCGTCTATGCCCGCTAGAATGTCTTGCATCGTACGCTGAAATATCTCAGGCGCAGAGGTGATTCCAAAACAGAGACGTCTGTAGAAGTACCGACCGAACGGGGTAATGAAAGTGGTCAGCTTCGCGGAGTCGTCGTCCAGTGCCAACTGCCAAAAGGATGAAGTTGCATCAAGCTTGCTGAACTTGTTTGATCCGCTGAGTTTGTACAATATGTCGTCTATGGTGGGCAGCATGAATCGTTCACGCTTCACCGATAGGTTGAGCTTTTTCAGATCTGTGCAGATTCTAACACTACCAGACCTTTTTCTGACCGGGACCATGGGTGCACACCAGTCAGTTGGAGCGCTGATCTTTTCAATGACACCTGCGGCCTCCATACGGTCTAGTTCAGCTTTGACTTCGTCCATGAGTGGAATGGGAATCCGACGTGCGACGTTCACGGAGTATGGCTGTGCATCTTCTTTCAAGATGATTTTCACTGGCTCGCAGCGTATAGGTTTAGGTCCCACATCACCGAACACGAGGTTGGCAGAGTCTATTCTGTCTCGAGAAATCAGTCCCAGACGAACTGCGGCGTCGCGACTGAGAAGACAGTCGGTGTCGTCGTCAAGGACGAAAACACGGAACGCAAAGTTGCGATTGTTATGCAGCGTAGTTGCGATAAATTCTCCCACGCTCCTTATGACTCCACCAGGACTGCGAAGAACTGCAGACGTTGTTTTCAGCTTTGGACGAGGACTGAGACGGTTGTAGACGGCCTTCGATATTATCGAAACATCGGCCCCTGTGTCTATCTTGAAGGATGTAGCTCTCCCTCCAAGGTTCAGTGTAACGCGCCATGGTGGCTCGCTAACTTCGCCGAAGTTTACATCGGTAACGACATTACTGTCCGAGTCTCTGTCAACAGCACCTAAAAAGAACGAAGGAGTTTCCGATTCGGTTATTTCGTTGACATTGCGGCTGCTGCTGCTGCTGCTGCGACAGACTGTTGCGAAGTGATTGCGCTTGCCGCATTTCCTGCAAGTTTTCCCACGCGCTGGGCAATTGTTTTGGGCAATTGTTTTGGGCATGACCTCTTCCACAGTTACCGCAGTTAGAGAAAGTTGACGGTGATGCATGGCTGTCTCTGTGTTGTGAGTGTGTACCTGTTCTTCGGCCGCCTCTACCCCTGGCGAATATCCTCTCTGGCCGTAGCGCACTGAATCTACTGTGACTGCTGCACCTAGCTGACGTTGGCTACTGACCTGACCCTTTACGAGCTCGAAATGGCGTGCTGTTTCGATGGCTGATTTCAAAGTAAGAGTTGCCTCGAGTTGTAAGCGCTGTGACAGTTCATTGTCCAGTACTCCTAGGACGAGTCTATCCCTTATGGTTTCATCTCGGTCCTTAAAGTCTGCATGTTCGGAAAGTTCGTACAGGGCTCTAACATATTCTTCTATCGTCTCCCCACTGTTTTGTGCTCGTGCATGGAACTTTGCTCTTTCGTGGATAAGATTCCGCTTGGGGACAAAGTGAGCGTCAAAATTCTCTAAGACAGTGTCAAAGTTGTCCCTAGGATCGTTACCTTCGACGGGAGCAGGGAACGTGAACGTGTTAAATATCTGTTCAGCTTGGCGTCCCATAGCGTAAATTAATGAACTTACTTGAATTGCTCCGGTCTCTGCGCTCAGTTTGGTGGCTGTGCGGTATCGTAGCATACGCTGTCGCCACTCGGGCCACTCGTGAGGTTTCGAAAAATCAGACGGCTCAGGAGGCTTGAAATGAGGCATTCTGACACTTGTGACACGTTATCCACTGACTTCTGACACCATGTAATGTTAGTACACACACACGTCTGTAAAACTGGAGAGACGAACACACACGACAGCAAGCATTCTAATAATGAGCCCGGGTGTAGTGTCTGACTTTTTATGTAGATCCCCGAAGTGAGTAACATTAACCAAGAGCCCATGGCATACGGGGCGCTTACGTCCCGTGAGTAAAAAAGAGTAAGGTACAATACGGTGACTACCGTGACAAGAATGGTGTAATTCTGAGGTAGTGAGGTGTTCACATGTATGTGTGGGAATTCATATTTGTTTGTTGTGTTTATATGTGTTATGTTACGACTTACTTGAGTCTTGGAGTAGTAGATCTAGATGGTAGTTGATGTTGGTGGGGCCCCACCTGCTGGTCGTCTGCTAGTTCTTTGCTATGCCGATGTTACTCGTTTCGGCTTCAGTGAGTGAGTGACCTTCAGATTTCCCGCCGCTTGCACGAAATCACATTAGGTCTCAGTCACGTGATATGTCCCTTAGGCCTATGTCACAATAATAATTATTAAGGTGTGTTCACGCTACATGTCCTTCTATTCTTAAGGTGCGCTTACACCACAGTATGTGTGTGTTTTCACAATGATGGAGGAAAATGTTCCTCCTCAACTTCACCAATAGTACTGGTTTTGGTGGAGTATCATTCCCTTTGATGGGTGGTAGTGCAGGCTGGTTGGAAGGTGTGTAAATCTCTGGTTAAGTTTGTATTTGTCTGTTGTCTTTGTGTGCATGTGTACATAACACAAACTATGGCTTGTAAGTATTTAAGAATGTAGTAAGAAAAGCCAACTGAAATTCTTGTTTTGGCATCACTACCAATTAGATCTATTTGCTTTTTAGTCGTAAAATAAAGACATGCTGTATGTCGTGTTAAAATGTTGTGTTGGGTTTAACTGACTGACTTATACTCACAGGTTTGAAAGTGATCTCCCGGAAGTAGCAAAGAAGGCGACATTCATCGCCGAGGATGGACCTGTTGCCTTTCACATCGGGTATGCCTTGCTCTATCACCTGGACAGATTGCTTGGGGTAAGTCTTAAGTCTTTGGTGATGGTTAGGCTCTTCTACATGCATGGCAAAAACATGAGTTTGATAATCACTTGAGGGAAGCTATTTTACACTAAATTATACAGGATCTCTCTCATTTTGCTGGGGAACTACTTGCTCAGCCCAGGTTACTGACGTCTGTGGTGTAGCGGTTAGGCTTTTCACCATTGCATGCAGAAAATGTGAGTTTGATTCCGTATTGAAGAGGTTTTTAATCAAGAATCTCCCTCTCTCTTCTGGGACTTTGAATTTCTCTGAGCCCGGATTTGCAGTGACAGATATTGTTGAAGCAGTCTGTCTCCTGAATGATAGGTAAGGTTTGTCAATGGGGGGCGCAAAATTTTTAATCTTTGGCATTTTCATGACTTTATTGTGTTGCAAATGCTGTAACGCTTTTCTGGAACTGAAAAGCTCCACCCCCTCACAAATCTAATCCACTTGTCTCTGTGTGGGTTGTTAGTGGGCTCCACTGGTAGGTTCCACTTTTTAATTTCCCTCTGTTGTTTGTGTCTGTCTGTGTTACTTTTTCCCAGCACTAAATGACTGTTGCAGAGCGTCACTGGTAGGTCCTACTTCTTTATGTTTCCTCTGTTGCTTCTGTCTGTCTTACTGTTTCCAGCACTAAATGACCATTATTGTGTTGATGTGTTTCTCTTTACTCTAACAAACAAACGATCTAACCAAATGACCATTGTTGTGTCAATGTGCGTCTCTTTACTCAAACAAACAGACAAACCAAATTACCATTATTGTGTCGATATGCTTATCTTTAAACCAACAAACAAACGATCTAACCAAATGACCATTGTTGTGTCAATGTGCATCTCTTTACTCAAACAAACAGACAAACCAAATTACCATTATTGTGTCGATATGCTTATCTTTAAACCAACAAACAAACGATCTAACCAAATGACCATTGTTGTGTCAATGTGCGTCTCTTTACTCAAACAAACAGACAAACCAAATTACCATTATTGTGTCGATATGCTTATCTTTAAACCAACAAACAAACGATCTAACCAAATGACCATTGTTGTGTCAATGTGCATCTCTTTACTCAAACAAACAGACAAACCAAATTACCATTATTGTGTCGATATGCTTATCTTTGCTCAACCAAACAAACGATCTAACCAAATGACCATTGTGCGCCCCCCCCCCTCTAGGGCAGAACCACTGACTGAAGTGTCTTTAGGCCGTTCCCAAAAGGGGGATATTAACATGTTCGTATGCACAGTAGAATTGTAAATCTGTGTGCCCCACTCAATATCAGTCGTAAGATGCACTGTGCTATTATCAGCCACGAGGCTCGAAAGGCAAAAAAGTGACTTTCCATGAAATTTTTGTTTTTCGGATATATTGAAAGTTTAATGTCTTCTGCTTCGTTTAAGATAAATATAAACAACTATAATCGACTATAAATATTTTATTTTGATTTATTTTGGAGGTATGTGTGGTTTATTGTGAGCTTGGGTGACGAGATAAAGGAATTTGGACCTTGCTAGTGTGTAGCTGTGAGATTATTTTTAGAACTATTACCTCATGGCCACCTTTGCTTCAACCGGAGATTCTCCACTGGTAGAAAATCTTTGCTCAAACGTTCTTCATTCGCAATTATTTTTAGATTTTGACCCATTTTTTAGCATGAATGGCCTGAAATGTAAACAACCCCTATTGGTAAAACGGAGTAAAAACGGTAACTTCTAGCCCACTTCAAGATTGTTTACGTAAACAGCTGACTGTGTGGGCGTGCCCTGCTAGCTGCTATGGTTTGTTGATCTTTCAATGTGTTTTAGTGCTTTTAATTAACCATACTCTAGATCTCCCAGAGCGGACTCCTTACCAAGAGGCCATCCGAGGCAGTCTATGTGCATGTGTGTATGTGCGTTATTGGGTTTTTGTGTGTACGTTTGTGTGTGTGTGTGTGTGTGCTCTCATGTGTTTATGGTGCCATTGCGAACGTATAATCAGGTAGCTTAAACACGGCACGTAAGCCGACTTGCAGCCTTCCGAGCGTGGTTTCGGTGAAATGGGGGTAATTCAGATCTGTTTCTTTGCTCTTATGCTATAAAACACCAAACACTGAACACTTCGAAAAAGTTCGGATTTTCTTCGTTATAGTAGTGTAAGTTGTTTGTATTTCCGGGTATTTGGAGCTGGTGGATCGCCGTGGAAAGGGAAGCCCCTTGCGGTTTGAATGCGAGGTCCCCCCTAGTTCAAAATTGACACCCATGCATTCGAATGCTTTGCAGAAAGATTGATGATTAAATACCGTCTTTTCATTGGTGGAGAACTTTACAGCTTTGAGCGTAGTTTCCCGTGGTTATTATTTTTGGCCTTTGGCGTTTAGATAGAAAAACCTTGAAAAAAAGGGTCTACGTTTTCAAAGATCATTTTTAACACGAAAAGTGTAAAACACCGGCTAAACAAAGGTACCAATAGAAAGAACATTTCTTTTTCTATTAGAATAAAGCCATCAGCTTAAAATTATTTTGCATGAATCCTTCTGCGAAACTATCGGGAGCACTCTGTATACTACAGTGTTGAGCCAGCTCGCTAGCTGCGAAGGCTGGTGCGACGCCGGCCGAGACAATGCTCGGTGTCTTTATTGAAATAACGACAGATCATCGTGTTTGAGGCAATACAACACTGATTTGTAATGATCTCACAGTCCTGAAAAAGATTAGGCTTCATTTCTATGTTATAGTGATTGCACTCTTTTGATGTTTGGTGCACTTGGTACTCTTTGATGATCTGTCAAACATGGGCTTGCAGCCAGTTAGCGACTTCTGCAATATTTTATTATTATGTTAAATTGAAACAGCTGCCATTCTCGTAAACATTGACTGAGAGGTACAAGCATGGTACTAAAATTCTCAGGAGACATAGGCCTTTCATATGAAACAGATGAATTTGACATACTGTTACTTTGAAAATTTAGTGTCTTGTACCTATAATGCTAATATTTTGTTGCATTTCACGTGAAGTCCGTTCTCGTTTAAATTTTGTTTGGTCCATAAGTTGTTTTTTTCTGTGAATGAATAGTTTTCTAAATTTGTATGTTACCTTGTAGTGGCATAGCCAAGATAACTGCTAAATTTCAAGTCTCTATCTCAATTCTAAGACCCCCATTGCTATGGAAACATGTTGTTCAACTTCGAAGGCCATTTTTTCCTTTTCGTCTTTCCTCACCTCGCACATATAAAAGTTCTGTATTTTTGTCGAATATTGTCATATTTACTTCATTTTTGTTTTAAATTGTAGGGAAAAGGTGAAATTTTTAAAAATAAGGTCATCTCAGTTTTGAAATTTCCTTCATATGACTGATATTGTCCGGCAGGGACACAAATGGGCTGACTTATCAATGTCATGCTCATACTGTGTCGAAACAACATAGGGGGAATTGCTGCTTTTTCTTTCCTCATCCTTACTATCGTCATTTTTCTTCTACTTCTAATGTATGTTTGTCACTCTATTGTGAATTGCTATTTCCGGGGTGCCTTGATAGTCCAAGCAGACTTTGTGTTGTTGAGGCAAGAGAGGTGAGCAGAGTAAGCCTGATTCCCCGTTTGGACGTCTCTGTTGACATCCACCCCTTGACGCTCATATGACCATATGCAGTTGGGAGCGCCATAAAACCTTACTGAAACTAAAACAAAAAACCAAATGGTTGTTATAGTGTGGGTGTGCCTCTCTTTACTCAAAAAACAAACTATCTCTGTCTTCCCATGGTCAGTTGTACCACACCCCGCCGTGTGTGGGTCAAGAGCTCAGTGCTGACTTGGTGGACAGGCTACATGCCAACAGTCACTGGGAGGAGGCCTTCAGACCACTCATAGAGGCAGATGGAACACTGTCAGGTGAGTGTGTGTGTGTGTATGTGTGTGTGTGTGTGTGTGTGTGTGTGTGTGTGTGTGTGTGTGTGTGTGTGTGTGTGTGTGTGTCTAAGCAAGCAAGCATGTGTCAGTCATGTCAGCAGAGGGAATAAATGAAGTAGAAGTAGTCAAAGAAAAAGAAAGGAATACGAAGAAAGTGTGATAAACAGCAAATGTATGATCTATGATGGGCAGGCGGTTGGCAGGTGCTCTGGTGTGGTTTGCTCCTTCTTTTCTGTCAAACATTTATCATCCTTATCTCCCCTCATTTTTTTGTGTTTGTTTCTCTCTTGTAACACCTCTATTCTTCAGCACTTATATGACCTTTTGTGTTGCAAGTGCTGTAAAATTACTAAAACTAAAGATCTATGATGATTAGAATTAAAAATGTGTTGTCCCTCCACCCCTCACCCCTCCCCACACCTCCCACCCCATAAATCTCCAGGTATTCTGGTGGTGCCCACGCCCAAAGTGATGAAGGTGAGCAAGCTCATCCTGAGCTCCCTAGAGGCACCGGTGGTGGAAATCAAGCCCTTTGAGCGGATGGAGAAACTGCAGCTGGAGTACGTGCTGCTGTGGTGGCTGGGCCGTGTGCAGAAACGGAACAATGAGCACCTTGGCTATAAAGGTAAGTGGGAGCAGTGACATAGTCTTTGGGTACTCCTATTTATGTCGAGGGATGTTCGCACCATGTATGAAACAGGAAAGAGCTCGCAAGTGTCACAAGAGATGAAGAGACACGGGCTGCATTTACTAGGAGTTGGTGAAACCCACTGGATACTGTCTGGACAAAAGCAACTCAGCTCGGGGGGACAAATATTACTACATGGAACCCGGAGAAGAGTTACAGTAATTGATTAACAGAAAAGTGGGAAGACATGGAATAATATTAAGAGGCTAGCCCAGAATATGGAAGGGTGGAAAGTGTTTGTTCGTGGCATCCAGGGTGAAAAAGTCAATGATGATGGCTCCTATTTACTTGACTTCTCGTGTATATAGGAAGGGGTAAACAATGAAGCTGTTATAGGGCACTTGTATTGGCCCAAAGACACTTGGATACAAAGATAGGGGAAAGCAGTGATGTCGTGTTTGGGTACTCAAACTTACCCAAAGACCGTGCAGGCACAAAGTTAAGGGGAAAGCGGTCACATTGTTGTAGGATTCTCGAATTCATTCAAAGACTACTCAGGTACAAAGGCAGGAAGCAGTGACATTGTTATAGGGTGTTCGTGGTTACTCAAAAACTGTCAGGCAGGGTACTTGTACTCACTTGAGACTTCTCAGTTCCAAAGGTAGGTGGGAAACAATATGACTATGTCATAGGGTTCTTATACTTACTTAAGACTTCCACATTATCCTAAGTTCTTAGTAAGATATTAACTCTACTGCTGTAAGCTGACAAAACGCCTTTTTTTCGTTTTGGCGTCAATTTTTTTTAATTTGCCAAATAGAAAGCTGATCAGTTAGCTTACTTGTGGGGAAAAAAATAATTGTGGAACTATTTCAAGTTTTTTAATAAATTAGAATTCAAATTTCGGATGAACACTGTCTATAAACTCGAAACCGCTGTGAACTTTTTAAAAAGGCGTTTTGTCAGCTTACAGCAGTCTATGAGCCCAAGCTTTCACTTAGGTGTACTCTACCTTGCACTGAATACACACCTCAATGTGTAGTTGTGTAAACCTTGCAGTCAAACTACTGAGGGTGCTTAATTAGTGCAGAGGTCCTGTAGCTGGGGTTAGGGTTCGAGGTGTCAAATGGTCATTAAATATAGAAACTGAAATGACACCTGTGATTGAAGTAATGTCATTCAATAGAACAAACATTTAACACATGAAATATAATGAGAATAGTAATAGCAATAAAGTTAATTTTATGCAATAATAGTAATAAAATAAATTCAGACAGTGCCCAACCCAGTTTGACTTCAGGCCCTTTGCAATAAAAAAAATCAAACAAAAACTGATTACGTGTAACATATTTTACTGAAATACGAGAACATGCGTACCCCAGTGCTTGAAATATGTGGTTATGGGGCAGACCTGGAATGTTATGTATCACTATCATCGTGTATGTTTCCACGAGTGTTCTCCATCTGGTCCACAGGTCACCTGATCCACTTTTACGCTGACAAAGCCTTCACCAATGTCACTACTGACTTTTCAGGTAGGGGATAAACTGCAATGTTGCTGTTGTTTGCGAGTAGAAATTACACTAGGGAAAATGTGCCTGTAACAGAGAGGATTTTGAGAAGATATACATGTAATACATGCACAAGTACTACTTCTCTGTCTGTCTGTCTGTCTGTCTGTCTGTCTGTCTGTCTGTCTGTCTGTCTGTCT